GCACATACAAATACAGAGACAGACACACTCACATGCATCGAAGTTGACCTATGACCTTAACTAACCAAATAACTTAATACGTGATCAAAGAGGCCAGATGTAGAGTATATAAACCGCTTTTTAGGGATTTGAATGGGAAGGGTGATACGAGGATATAGAAGAGGTGACTGGTCCAGGACAGAATGAGAGATACCACAACTGTTTAGCACAAATTTGCTCAACGGACCGGCTTCACTTGTGCTGCTAATAATGGCGAGACTGACTGACGATGCTGATTACGATGCCTGTGAAGCGTCTGGGAATGTACCACATCAACGGTCCGACTTTGGAAATGATGATGCAGACAATGTTCCCCGGACTAGGAGCGTTCATCTAATTCTTCCTACCAACATGACCATGTTGCGAAAACAAGGTCAAACAACCTCTTGACTAACATGCTCACAAGTTTACATCTCATTAGCTCAAGCATACTTGCTCACGGACTTTAGTTGGCTCAGTCGTGGCTTTCTCTTGGGTCATTAAGCCTTGATCATCAGAGCCTGACATCAGCCTTTTTGCTCACTCTGAGTTTGGACGGTTATTGTGTATGGACGCTAACACACACACACACACACACACATACACATACACACATACATGAGCAAAATTAGCAATCTCTGGAGAGTTTTTAATTTTATTTTCGCCTAATTGAGTCTATAAAAGAGGTAAGATAGAGCCGGATTTGTCGTCTTGCCCTAGTGGTAAAGTGATACTTTTAGAGGAATGAGACTCCAATTTGATGACGTCCATCGAATGATGGACGAAAGCTCAGCACGTTTTCTCCCGAAACGAAGGAGGAGGTCTCGTGTATTGCGTCAACCTGGACGTTGTATAAGAGCCAGACGGTTACAGTACAGCCGGTGAGATCGACCAAAGAATCTCTTCTTCATGCACTTTCATACGAAATAAAAGTTCTCCAACAATGTTATCTCAGGAGCTTCCTTGAAAGTCAGCTTCTCTTCATATCTTCCTTCTGCGTCATATTCTAATGCTTCCTCAATATCATCATTTTCTACTCATTTTCTTCATTTTCTTTTTTTCCTTCCACTTCTTAATTTTATTCTTCTTCTTTTTTTTCTCCCCTTTCTTATCAACTTAATCAATCTTTTTCTCTACCATTAGGCGCCTTTTCTACAGCCTCATCGATCTGATGACACGCCTAATCACATCTTACCCTCCCCATGCCCAGCTCTCCGGCTCTGCTCATCCGTCGCCTGACGACCATTCACCATTTGACCCTCTTTATCCTCAATCGTCCTGGCGACAAGCAATCTATTGATCATTGCAAGCAGTCGTGCCGCCCAAGAATAGAGGCTATTTCCTCTCCCCGGGGCCTGTCTGTCCCTGCGCTCTCTCCAATTCGTCCCGGCCTCTGCTTGCCGTACCTCGGCGCGTGTGCCCAAACTCAACCCAAACAGCTCACAACAGCCCTTCTGCTGCCATTACAGTTGGCATCGACATCGTTTTTGGTCGTGATGGTGATGGTTGCTAGGTTGGCATGTTGCAGTCGTCTAGTTGGATGAAGTGAATGCGGTTGCCAGAGTTGCAAAGATCGTCATGAGAGTGGGAAATCGATAGTTTCCTCCGTCTCAGTCTGATTGGTCGACTCGTGCCGACTTGGCCCAACGACTGGAGTCGAGGTCGGACGAAGACGACATGGCTCTGGCCGACTGGACGCACGGGCCTCAGACGACGCAGGCTCCGACGCGGTGGATCTTGTGTCTTTTCGCGCGTCATCAAGTCGGCCCGGACTCGAACGCAGCCGAGAGGGGCGAGTGAGGCTGAGCACTGGCCGTTGACGTCCTCTTCGAGTGCGCCACCGCGACAGCTCTTCTCCGGCCGGCCGGTCGGTCGATTCCCGTTGCGAGCGTCTTTCTGTGCTCTCCACATGTCCACGGCCTGACGAGCACAAACAGCGGCTTTGTCCGGACTCGGGCCGGACACGCCGACACCGCCATGCCCTGGAGCCGAGGTAAGTGAACGCACGACCGGCAAGCCCGAACCCCGTCGAGGGGCGTCCCGAGGCCAGAATGGCGTGGACTGGCACTTTTAGTCGTCAAGGCGGAGGACAGCCTCAAATGGTACAAGAGAGAGAGGAGATGTTTACGAAGAAAACTGGCGTTTCGAGGAATCTCTTCTTTCATAATTGTTCAGCCTACTTCCACTTCGAGTGAAAGTGTGTCGGACAAAAGAGATCCGAAGCTCGGTTCCACCAGACGACGACGGCGGATTCCTTACTGGAAGAGTCATGGTGACGCTGTTTCCGAGGCAATCTAGTTCGAT